CGCCGCCCGGGCCCCCGGCCGCCTCCCTAGGGCACCCTTGGGCCAAACCAGTCCTACGGCCCTCCGCCGATGCGCCAGCCGGGAGCGACGCCGCAGTACGCTCCTCCCCAGCCTCGTGGGCCTGACTACGGCTATGCCCCGCAGCCCGCGCGGCCCTCAGAGCCCAACTACGGCTACGCACCTCTTCCAGGCCGGTACCAGGACCCGTACTACACGGGATACGGAGGGAGGAATGGCTCAGAGCCACCCTACGTGCCCCAAAACACCTGGAAGCCCGAGCCAGCATATCCTGCCAGCAACACCATTGGCCAGACTCCTCCTGGCTTGTACCAGCCACCCGGCACAAAGAAGACCTACATCACTGACCCAGTGCTGGCTCCGCAGCCGCCCGCTCTGCAAAAGGTAGGAGGCATAGACACTCACGAGCTTCCCTGAGGGAGTGCAAAGCTATATTTTCAGCTCTGTTAGCTTAACATGGTCTGGGACCCTTCCTAAAACGTGACATGTAGGTTTAGACTGTGTCAGTGGGGGCGGGCTGGGAGTGCTGCATGTGCCCGATGCATCTGGAGCTGCCGAATGGCTGCAGCTCAGATGCGGAGGTCTGTGCTGCTTCACGAGGTTTGAGGAGACACTGCAGTAGCTTGGAGCCCTGCACAGGTTGACGTATCTACCAGACATCAGCTCTGAGACACCTACTAAGAGTTATCCGTGCAGTGACTGGTGAAGGACCAAGTGCCTGGAGCACCAGTATTACACTGGAGTGGTTCAGTCCTCGTCGCTGAGGGCAATGGGGGCTCATATTCTTTCCTCCCCTTCCTGTCGTCTCCATGTCTCTTGCTCAAAGCCTGTAACATAAATGTAAACTTAAGTGCAAACAGTATGAATGCAAGGCAAGTGTGGGCCTGGATTCTGAAGACAGTATGGGCCAGCCTTCAGGAGGCTGGCCAAGATTTTGAAATCAAGTTAGTTGGCTTTTCCATTGTGTAAAGTTGGACTTAGTGAGCTGACAAGACTGTAAATCACATCTTTGTTTCAAAACAAGAAAAAAACTATTGAGGAATGCAGAAAATAGTTTTGCCCAGCATTCTCTGTCCGCATGGCTTCTTAAAAGCTGAAAATAGGGAACTCTTGTCTGACTTGAAAGTACACTTTTGGGGTCTTAGAAGTCCCATCAGCCTCAAAGGGAGAGATCGTCTCATTTAAAGAGACCTGGTGTTACGTATTGGAATTCACCCGTCAGGGCAGGAGGAAGTTTACATCCCCATGACAAGCAGTTGCACGATAAGTTTGTTGGCTATATATTTAGATGGAATTATTACACTTGGATCTTTCCTTCCGGGTTCTCCCAAGATGAGAATGCATGTAAACTTCTCCTCTGTATGTTTATGTACCTTTTTTTAGTTCACCAGAAAAAATGTTCCTCCTCTTATTCAGATAGGAGATACAAAACACGCTGTTTTTGATTGTGGTTCAAAACAATTCCGGAGGTTGACCTCTTGTGTGTCACTGTTTAAAAATCACTTATCACTCAAACCACATGGAAATGAGTTCCCACACAGCTCTGCGGCTGTTTGATTTTCCTCTCAAGTGACAGTAAGATGGTACGGTGAATAGTGTCCATCCACTTTAGCAGGTGTCCAGACCTCATCAATTTAAGCTGACTTGTACGAGGAAGTCAAACTGGTCTGCCTGGCTTCTCTGTCCAGACTTGCACCTTGTCTGGCTTCCATCGCTTCTGCTGATGGCCATCTCTAATGCGCTCTGGGGCAATGCAGGGACTTTGTGGGATCCTTCTAAAGTAGGGTGCGTGCTCCCAGGTCGGTCTTCAGCTCTGGCGCAGGTCAAGGATGGCAAAGCCCAGGCGAGGAGGTAGCGTCCCCATTGCTGCCCCGAGCCACCCTGACTCGCCTCAGCACATAGCTGCTTGCTTGCTCTTGAGTGCTGACAGAGAAATGGTAAAAGCTTCTGAGACATAACAAAAAATCTGTCCTCTTGCCATTTTCTTCACTAGAAGCATAGGGCTGGTTTTCCCTGAATCCCAGATTTTCTGACAGTGGGAAATTTTGAAGTCAAAGATATTCAGTATTTCTCCAGGCAATATAGTGAGAGAAATAAATAAAAAAGTCCTTGAAGTGTTAACTACTGTCAATGTGAGCTAATACACTTTTTTTTTTCTTTTTTTCCCTCTCCTTACCAAGGAGCTAGGAGTGAGGAGAGAGGCAATAAACCCTCAGCACTGCAGGTGCCTGGTATAACTTAGATTAGGAAGCAGTGAAAGGTATAACATTTGCACATAGCCTTAGCTAGTGTAAATTGGTGTGGTTCCAGTGGAGTCAGTGAGGAAATGCTGATATACACCAAATAGATATTTAGAGTTTTATGAATACAGGTAGAGTTATGTATATATGTATATATAAAATTTAAAAACTTCAGTGTAGTCAGTATCTCTATGGAAACACAGATCATCTCGAACCACAGACAGCACAAGCCTGTTAGTCTCATTTGCATTACAGAGCTGGAGGGATGTATCCGTTCAGCTAAAGTTTGGGGTTTTGTGTATGCATATATACATGCAGGCGTATGTGTGTGTAAGTGATATTTGCAAACACATATATAGAAATACTTTATTTGTTATATGTATATATCTCTATATAAATAATTTCAGTTTTCCTGCAAAACAGACTGTTTATCTGATTGATGTTACATCCCTTCAGAGCTTTCATTCTCTTTTAGCTTGCTAAATATGTAACTTATTATCCTATCTCACCTTTGCACTTAAAACTATTTTCTGAAACATTAGTGGTAGACTCTGCTCCTTCCTGCTTTATAACAAATACAGTTTAATTGATGAAAATTTTAAGCTGATCTTACAGACCAACAGGAAATGCCCAGTAATGAAACGCTGTATGTTTTGCTAGCCAGAGAGGTAGTGTTGTCTGGTTTTCCTGCATGTTGTTTTCTTCATTTGCAGTCTAACTCATTCATAAGGATCAACTTTTTTGAATGATTTTATATAAATGAAAGAAAATAGAAGGCTGTGTTAGAATCAGGTTCCTGTCGGGGAGAATTGTCACTGTCATTCGATTTGCTGGCCACAATGTGAATTTTAATAGATTTTCCAGCACACAACTGGCTTCTGCATGTTATTGCGTTATGCCTTTTCAAGATTGGTTTGAGGCCTTTCAGTTTAGGAAAACAATTTAGAAGCCAGGGTAAGAAGCAGGCATTAAAACATATCTCATAAAAAAGAAGACGACCTTTAGGAATTTTTCTTCCTGCAAGGGAGTGATCTTGGAATATAAAATGATTTCCAAGCTTCATTCAAACAAGTGCATTCTGAATTTTGAATGCACTTGTTGTGCACAATGTTAAGGATGCAACCAATTCATCTCGGATTAGAAGTTCATGATGCTTAGTTCTAATACACACCGTGGTCCATCACTGTGAGAAAGGGTTGAAAATTTTCCTTCAGATGTTTTAGGATTTTTAAGAGGTAAAAAATATTTTATGTTGTGTATTCTGGTTAGGAAGAGGTTCACGGTGCTGTGGTTCTCTGTTTTGCAACGTACTAATCATGTTGAAGTTGCTGCTGATCCAAAATAAATCTGGATTGGTATGGGAACAGAAAATAATCTGTACTGATTCTTAAAGCCCGCTGGGAACAATGAGTTTTACTCGCGCACAACTGTGTGTTGAATTCTGTCCTTCGGCCAGTTATGGAAGTGAAAGTCATGCATGTGAAACCTCTGTGCATTTTAGTCTTTTGTAGCACTCCATTTAGCATTAATGCCCAGTCCTAGTTAGGAAATGAGCTGGCAGAGCGCATGTCCTCATTTAAACCTTCATGTGCTTCAAGGGCATTCCT